GGTCAGCAAAGTGAGAGGATCAGAGCACCTCGGAGAAAAAGGGCTCACTGAGCAAAAGGCACAGATGGGTTCGTGTGTGTTTGTGTGTGTGTGTGTGTGCACGTGTACGTAAGGACATGTGTGCACACATGCGTGTGTGTTCAGGGCTGCATGCACCTGTTCAGTTGTCTTTTTTTTTAAACCCAATATATCCAAAGGATCATCTCAACATAGAATCAGTATAAAAATTGTTAATGAGAAAAAAAATCTGAAGTGTTGGACTTTCTTCCAACCAGTCAGGTTTCTGGGCCTCTGAGTACTCAGCACAGCACTCTGCCCATGGGGGCCCTGGTATGGACTGAATGTTTGTGCCCCCTTAAATCCATACCCTGAAACCCTATCCAACACGGCGGTCTTAGGAGGTGGAGTGCCACGGTGGGATTAGCATGCTTGGTGGCATAGAGGTGTTTAGCAGAGAAAGGACTGCTCCTTCCCCGTGCACACATGTTCACAGCGAGGACAATAGTTGCCAAGAGCTTGGATGCCACAGCCGACAGTCTGGGCTTGAACCCCACCTCTTCCACTAGCTAGCTCCGTGATCTTGACCAGTTTACGCAGCCATCTCTCTGCACCTCAGTTTTCTTGTCTGCAAACTGCAGATTTAATATTACTTACCAACTTTACAGGTTGCTAAGAGCCAGCGAAATAATGAATACAGCGTCCATAGTAAGCTCGAACTAAATACAGTTGGACCTTGAACAACACAGGGATTGGGGCAACGAACATGCTGTGAGGTCGAAAATCCATGTGTAGCTTTGACTCCCTAAAAACATAACTGGTGACCAGAAGCCTTACTGATAGCATAAACAGCTGGTTAACACCTGTTCTGCATGTTCTGTGTATTATATGCTGTATTCTTACAATAAAGTAAGCCAGAAAAAGAAAATGTTAAGAAAATCATAAGGAAGAGAAAATACATCTACAGTATTGTACCGCATTTATTAAAAAAAAAAAAATCCGTGTATAAGTGCGCCTGCGCCATTCAAAGCCAGCTTGTTCAAGGGTCTTCAGTGGCTGCTACGCAGTTCCCCAGTCTTTTAAGAAACATCATTGGGTCAAATTTTAGAGCAGGATATCCATTTAAAATGAAAAGAAGTTGCCAATTGACACATAAAACTGTTCTACTCTCAACCCATCCCCTGTCCCACACTCGGCAACACCCCTGCCCATAACTCAGCGGGGCCACAGCCCCCAGAAGAGCAGGAATCCTGGCCCTTAGCATGTGTGTCTCTGCATCTCCCCATCATACCTTCTGGGCATAGAAATCTTAGCACCTCAGACCTACAGATGCTTCAAGAGCCTTTGAAAATGTTTGAGCTCCGGGGCACCTGGGGGGCTCAGTTGGTTGGGCGACTGCCTTCGGCTCAGGTCGTGATCCTGGAGTCCCGGGATCGAGTCCCACATCGGGCTCCCTGCTCGGCAGGGAGTCTGCTTCTCCCTCTGACCCTCCTCCCTCTCATGCTCTCTCTCATTCTCTCTCTCGCAAATAAATAAAATCTTAAAAATAAAATAAAATAAGGGGCTCCTGGCTTGGTCAGTGGATCTTGTTCTAGGGGGTTCGAGCCCCAAGGTGGGTGTAGAGATTAAAGAAAATAAAAATCTTGGGGCGCCTGGGTGGCTCAGTTGGTTAAGCGACTGCCTTCGGCTCAGGTCATGATCCTGGAGTCCCGGGATCGAGTCCCGCATCGGGCTCCCTGCTCGGCAGGGAGTCTGTCTCCCTCTGACCCTCCTCCCTCTCATGCTCTCTGTCTCTCATTCTCTCTCTCTCAAATAAATAAATAAAATCTTTAAAAAAAAAAAAAAAAGAAAATGTTTGAGCTCCAAAACAGGGGGTAGGGGGCTAAACGTTACAAAATCAGGATCAACAAATGTTTAATGAAATGTCTAGGAAACCTAACATTATGTCATGTTCATGAATTGTTCCATCTAGTCATCATAAACATTTCGTTACACTTCATTATATTTGAAATGAATTTATAGGTGAGCTCTTCTCGTTTTGCCAGAATCCCCAAGAATACTGATTGCTCAGTGAAGAGCTTATGGCCGGTTGTAATGAATGAATTTCTTGGAGGCAAATAATTTTGGTAGTAACATCATCAAAATGTCTTTTGATCAAAAACTAAAACTTAGATGAGAATTCATTTCAATCCATCTGTTGGGATGTGGGGAAGGGCTTTCTACAGAGTGTTGGTGTGGGGGGAGGACGAGAAACAGCCCGGTGCTGCCCCCCCCACCCGCCCACCTTTTGCTGACCTTCCTCAAGCACCCAAGGCTGCTTTTACCCAAGTTGGCTTGGATGAAAATCTTGCAGTGGTCCTTCTTCTGCTCCCAGTGAAAATTTCAAGTTTCCACCAAGGCCATTGATGCCCCAGTCCCTGCCCAGCCCCTGCCCAGCCCCTGCCCAGCCCCTGCCCAGCCCCCTGGCTCACTCGACTGGCCAGCACAGAGGGGAGTGCTGGTCCACCCTGGACTCAGCCTGAGCGCCCCCTCAATCCCTGAATTGGGCCGTGTGGCCTCTTCTACAGCCGGAGTGAGAAGCGGATCCAGGAACCGGTGAGGAGAGGCCTTCCTCCACCCCCACCACAGGCTCCACCTCGGGGACTGGGATAAAGAAAGCACAAAACATTATTTGGTGAAAGACCAGATGAAATGGGACTGCTTTTTCATGTCAGAGCAGGATAGCTGGGGATCATGAAGTAAAGATAGGACTAGCTCCTGTTTATTAAGCACATACTACATGCTCGGTGCTCTGGTAGGACCTAGGTGCATGATTTTATTTAACTTTGGCAATCACCCCAGAAGTAGGTGCTGCTTTTATCTCCTTTTCCAAAGGGAGAAACTGAGGCTCAGGAAGACTAGTGACTCGCGCCTAGGCCTGTAGCTAAAAGGTGGGGGTGCCAGACCCCCAGGTCCGTCCAACTCCGGTGGACACAGATGACCAACGGAAGCCCACTGAGCTCTACCTTGAAGGGCAGCTAACAGAGCCAAGGCAGGTCCCTATGGGGGGCTGCCACCGAGGTCCTGCTGCCTTTGACAAAGCAGCTTTCCCTGATCTTTGTTCCTCGCCCTCTGTTGATAGCTCTCGAGACCGCGTGCAATCCCTGTCTCCTCTGGCCAACTCTGATTCTCTGATCTTTGCCCTTGACCGAAGACACATTATTACCCACATTTGGTGCCTTCAGACCTTACCACTCCTTCCCTGAGGGGAATTCACAGAGAAAATGTGAAAATAACATCCAGGCTGCCTGGTAGAACAGAGACTGGGTTTTGCCAACACAATGTGCAGTAAAAATATCTCTTCTTTAAAAGAGAGAGAGAGAGATGTAAAGACTGGAGATCAGTAACATGTAATTATCATCTGGTTTGGGTGGAGAGTTCTAATAGTTTCCAGAAAAATACAAACCATAAAAAATGAATGTGCTTTCCAAGGCAAAAAAAGATTTGGGCTCGGCAGGCGGTGGCCCCGTCTTGGAACTCCTGTGGCCTTTGAGGCCCTTTCTTGGCAGAGTAGGGAGCCTTTCACACTGGAAAGGAGGCTCTGAGAATTGCCTTTGCACTCAGCCTCGAATCCGCTCAGTACATCGGTTCCCGTGAGCAGACGTACCCACAGGCCAGATGGATTCAGGGGTTTCCCTGGGGGGTGGTGATGGGTGGGAGGTCCCTCCACATCAGAGAGACAGCCAGCGGCCTGGGGTCCAGGTTGATGAGCGAGCGCCACCTGGTGGCCAGTCCCGGCAAGCCGCTCCCCTCCCCCCCCCCCGCCTCCCACTGGGGGCTCAGCCGGAGTCCCCTCCCTGAGTGCGCCTCCACAATGTCCCTCAACAGCCCCGTTACACTTCAAATTGATATTGACAATTCATAGGGAGAAACACATTTTCTCGGTTTTACATAAAACAGAAATAAACACCATTTCGGTTTCCGGTTGCTACTGAGCTGTCCTATGTGGCAGTGGGGAGCGGATGTGCGTGACCTCACCTGGGACGCGCGCCCCGCCCCCAGGGGCTGGGCTGCAAGTGGCCTGGGTGCGGACTGGGCGTCAGGACTGCCCCTTTCGCTCTGCAAACACTGCCCCAGAGTGCGAGCCCCTCCCTTTGCAGAAGTGCTGGGGCAAAGTCCTCCGAGGTCGAGACCCTCCCCAGGCCTCTGTGGCTGGGACCCTGAGCCCAGGGACTTCCAGGGCTGAGTTCATGACCCTCCTGGCTGCCTGGCCCGAAGCCCTTCACTATAGACCCCGGTTTCCCCTTCTATTACCTGGTAAAGAACAGTGGCTCTGACCTACTTGGGGGTCAGGAGCCCCTTGAAACTAGATGTAAGTGATAGACCCCTTTTCCAGGTATGTGGGTGCCCCGCTGTGCTCCTGGCTGGAGATGGCACTGGAGGGGTCTGGTCAGACTGTTCAACTGGATTACCCCCTTTAGTCCTCTCCGGGACCTCCTGATGTAGCTACTTTTATTAGCCCCATTTTACAGATGAGGAAACTGAGGCACAAATATGTTTAAGAACCTGCCCAAAGTCACACAGCCAATAAATTGTGGGCTGAGTTAAAACCCAGCCTTGGACAAGTGACCCAATGGCCTTAAGCCTCAGTTTCCTCTCTGAGAAAAGACATCAGTACTAGCCCCTACCCTGAAGGGGAGTCAGAGGGGCACATAAGATTGGAAAGCACATAGCAGGTGCTCCCTAAAAAGAGCTGTGATTTTGACACGCACAAACAATTGCAGTGCCCCGCCCCCCCACCCCCGGGGGGCCTCAGACTCTGTGTGGGGATCAGGGTGGGCAGTGGCAAGCCCCCAGAAAGTCAGGGAAGCCCCGTGGTTCCAGAGAACGCTCTGGTCTTGCCAAGCTCAGCTTCCTTCTACCAACACATAGTCAGAGGCCCTCACTCATCATTTCTGCTTTCAATCTTTTTTTTCTGAGGACACACGCAGGAGTTTCGTTTTCTTTTTCCCCAGAATGCTGGTCAGGTCAGGCTGACTAGGCTTGTTTCTGGAGTGTGAACAGCAAACACCCACCCTTCGCAGCTGCGGGAGCACCCAGTCCGGCCACGCAAGGACACCCTGCCTCCACCCAGCCTGTCCGTTCCAAGCCGCGGTGCAGACGCCTCCAGGCTCCCAGCCGCTGCAGCCAGGATGGCCCAGGCCCCTGGGGACCCTGATGAAAGAGGTACTCTCTTCCTTCCAAGCAATAGTAGGCGCTCCCAGCGGGATTTGCACCTTTCTTTCCAGCTCCTTTCCTTGGCTAGATGACAGCAATGATAGCCGACAGTACCCCAAAGCCCTGTGGCCGCGGGAGTCGAGGGGACCCCAGGGTCTGCCCTGGGCACCTTGTAGCACCCTCTGCACACCTTTCAGGAGCCCCCGGGGGCAAGCCCAGAGCTGTTTCCGTTTTATAGACGAGGTCACTGAGGCCCCGCAAGGGGGACCCCAGGCCGCATGCTGACACTGGGGTCTGAACACCTGGCCTCACACTCATTTTAAGAAACAACAGAAGTTGCTTTGAGAAGAGGCGGACGTGCATGCCTGTGTCTCCTAGTACTGCAGATAACACTTCACTCCTGGAAGAAAACCCAAGAAAAACGAGCCGTGTATTCTAGAGAGCTTGTGGGCTGTGGGCTGTCGGCTGAGGGTGGTTTTACTTTTTGTTTTTTTTAATTCTGTTATCATTTGCTGATTTACTCCTCACTACAATCTTCGAGGTAGCTGCTCTCATCCCCAGTTCACAGATGGACAAAGTGAGGCACAGAGAGATCACACGGATGGCAGAGAGGGGGCTCAAACCGCGGAAACCAGCCGTCAGAGAACAGAAAAGAGGACGAATGGGGGACTGGGGAGGAGGGCCAGCAGTGTGCGCCCAGGGCCCCGGGCTGGTTCCCCGGTTTTTGTGGTGCTTCCACAAGGGGGACACGCAGGTACTTGTCACTCAGTGGCTGAATTTAACTTCTCCCTCCTGGCTGTTCCTTTCCAACCTGTCGCTTACACCTCATCCATTTTACAACCTTCCTTTTACGGACACACCAGCCTGAAGACTCAGTGCAGGAGGCCAGCCAGCTCTATGGGCTCGGCCCTCACTCTGATCTCCGACCCCACGACCCCCCTCGGCTCCTTTGAGGTTAGGGGGTGGAGGAGGAGGGAGGGGAAGAGGCTCACCCAAGGGCAGGCTTTTCAAAAATCAAAACTCTTTTCAAGACAAGGCAAAGCCAGGCTTGCTGTTGATTGGATGGGGATCCCCGGCCGCCAGAGTGGTGAGTGAAGGGGTGGATGCCCCCAGGCATTCTAAATGCACTTCACCTGCACCCAGCACGGATGAATGTGTCCTGATCCCAGAGCGAGCCTCAGAGCCCAGCTGTAGAGTCAGCCAATGGATTACCCCTTCCCCCACTAGGGAAAAACCCAGAAGGCAAAGGATCGGGCTGCTGCCCTGCCAAGGGGCCCCAGGTCTTCCCCAGAAGGACCCTGCCTTGCGTTTCCCGTGGGGTTCTTGGGGGCAGAGATTTCCTGGCAAGAGGCTGGGCTGCCGCCCATGGGGCTCCTTCCAGCTCCCCAGGCACTGTGTGCGCTCTGTTCTCGGCTTCCCAAAGAGCCGCAGGCTTGGGTTTGTGGGAGCCCGTCTGAGAGGAACAGGGGCCGTTCAGAGAGCTCCTTCTCCAGCCTCTGGGTCATTAACCTCAGGTGGGGAAATGGAGACCCAGGAGGAGCTGCCCATACCCTGCCCTGCGTCATCTGGGCAGACACCTGTCCTTGTGCTGGGCAGACCCACTCAGACACTCGTTCGTTCAAATGCTGTTTCCCGAGCACCTACTCTGCTCCCAGCACTGTAGTAGACACCGAAGATACTGCAGTGGACCCGGCAGTCACAGCAAGGGGGTCCTTGGAGACATTCTGCCGGGGACCCCCACCCCCCCACAGCACCCCAATCACTCGGGGCATCTATGATGCTCCCCAAAAGAGATGGTGTTTGAGTGAGACCTGGAGGTTGAGTAGATGTTGGGCGGGTGGAGGGGGGGAGAGCGTTCCTGACAGAGGGAGCAATGTGTGCAAAGGCCCAGGGCTGAGCGGGCTGGAAGGAGCACGGCCGGCTGGCACTTGGAGGGAAGCTCTGGCTGCCGAGGGGAGGGTGGGCTGGAGGGATCCCGACTGTGGTCAGCGGAGCTGCTGCTGTCCAGGAGATGACGATGAAGAATAGGAAGGCAGAGGCACAGAGGGGAGAAGAAGAGGTTCGAGAGAGAGCCAGGAACAAGGTTTCCAGGACTCTCTGTAACTGGGCACCAGGGAGAAAGATCCGTTTCTGAGTGTCTTTAGCTTTCTGGCTTGGAAGAATAGACGCACCACTGATGTGGATGGAGAGCCCACGAGGAGGGGCAGGTGCCGTAGGGAGGTGGGGACAGCAGGCCTCCCAGGAGGCACTTTGTCTCCCCCCAGTTCCTGCCCTCCTGCCCTCACTCTACCCCACCCCGCTACCCTCCCCTCCCTTCTGCTCTGAGGATGTCTGAGGGCTGAGTGTCCCCCCCCCCCCCCCAAGCACTCACACCAGGCAGAGGACGCTCAGGAGGCTGGGGCACCTCCTCTGGTCACCAGGCTGTCCGGCCACGGTCATTTCTGACCAGCGCATGTGTCCCTCCCTGAACAGTGGTGTTGTTAGTGAATGTCTGCTCAGGTCCCTGCCCCTCCATCTGCCCTGGAGGCACCTCCCCTGCCCCCGAGCTTCCAGCCCAGGCTCCGTCGGGGGGGAGATTCAGTCCCCTCTCTGCCCCTCTCTCCTTCTCCCAGACCTTGAGCAGAGGATCCTGCAGGTGCTGAGGGATGCTGGTTCCCCCAGGAAGTCTTGCCAGTTGGCAAAGGAATGCCAAGTGCCCAAGAAGAAACTCAACCAGGTCCTCTACCGGATGAAGGAAGAGTCCAAAGTCTCCCTGGAAGGCCAGGCGATGTGGGGCCTGGGCAAGGGCAGGACTGAAGTGGAGCCCGCAGAGCTGGCCCAGCCCAGCCAGGGTAACTGCCCCGGGGAGGGGGACGGGGGGCCCAGCACGAGCAGTCCTGGCAGAGGACAAGCGGGGCCCGGGCCTGGGTTCGAATACAAGCTCCGCCTCTCAAGGGTGCGTGGCATCCCCCGGCCGTGCCCTGTAGATCTGCTGCCCAGGGTTGCGAGAGGGTGAGACGCAGAGGGCCCAGCCTCATGCCCGCACGTGGCGGGCGCTCAGCAAAGCATCAGCAGTAACACTGTTGACAACTGCCACGGTAGTAATAAGAGTAGAACAGACTTGGCTTACCCTGGGTCCCAGAGTTGGCATTGGTCGGGCGCTCCCACAGCCCCCGGGCGTAAGTGGATGGCACTCTTCCTCTTTGCCCAGAGGCGTGAGTTAGCAGCAAAGCCGGGGGTATGGAGAGCGACAGGGCAGGTTTGAAGGCAGGTTGGTTTAACTCTAGACTCTGAGTCCAGATCGCCCGCGCACCGGGGCCACGGTTGAGCGGCCCGCCTTTGTCCAGTGGCGTCCCCATCTCCTCTGCCACCCCTCATGCCCCCGGCCACTCTTTCTTCCTCCAGCAGAGAGGCCCCAGCAAGGTGCAGTTACAGTTCCACAGGAAGCTGGCTCTCGGCTCACTCAACAGCGTAAGCATCCCACTTCCCCAAACTCTCCTTGGCCACTTGAGATGTGACTCTTGCCCCGCCCACCAAGAGGTTCCCACAGAGTGTCCGGAGGCAGGACTCAGCCTGCACAGTGGAAGAAGCTAAATGGCTGAGAAATCTCTCTGATCCGCGGTGGCACCTGCCATGGGCCCCTCCCATGTGCCCGGCACCGTTCAGAGCAGCGTATGTCCACCCCGCGCCCTAGAGCGGGCTCTGTGCTGCGCTGTTCTTACGTGCCACACGTTTCAGATGGGGAAACTGAGCACAGGGGGTCTGGTCGGCCCAAGTGTACACAGCTAGCAAGCAGTGGAGGAGACTCACTCCGGGCTCCTCCTTTACCACCCACTGCCCTGCTTCCCAGAGGAAGACATCTACAGGATTCTGGAAGCCCATGGGCCCTGTAAGGCCCTGACCATCTCCCAGAAGCTGGGAAGGAAGACAGCAAAAGAAGTCAACCCAGACTTGTACGCTATGAGGAGGAAGCATCTTGTGGACTTGGATGAGAAGTCAAGTACATGGGCAATTTATCAACCAGGTAGGTCCTTACCTGCGGCCCACACCTGGATGGGGCGGGGCTAGAAGAGAAACCTTAACATCCAATGCTTGTGGGCGCCCTGCCCAGCACTTTGCCAGCTCCAGCTTCCTTGTCAGACCCTCACAGAAGCTTGCAGTGGTCTTGTTCTTGGGTCACTAGAAGGGGGTACCAGGAGGGTGGAGTTGGTGCTGGTGCTGGTGGGAGTAACCGAGGAGGGCCTCCCGGAGGAGTGGCCTGAGGCTGTAGTTGCAGAAGGCAAGGGGCCAGGAGGGGAGGTGACCCACTCCTAACTATAGCAGCCCTGGGATGCGGGGCTCAGCCTGAGTTTGCTAACAGTTTTCTGTCAGCACTTTGCCCAACTTGGAGTTTTGAGGTTGCTGGAAGAGAAGCCTGGGCTCAGACCCCCACAGGGTGGGGGCCCGGGGGACTTCTCCCTCAGGTGCAGCAGGCATGGGCCCTACCTAGCACTAGGGGTCCACGACAATGTTCTAATTTCTCTTAAAATCAGAAGAAAAGATGCGGATTGTAATAGTAATGAAGAGTTAATCATGACTCCAGCCTGGATCACATTTGCCTTTATCCCACCACTGTCGTAAGTGGTAATTTTGAATATTTTTTATGGAGGAAGGTACCCACCAAGGCACAAGAGCTGAGGGCCCACAAAGGTGGGACGTGGCCCTGTTTGTGGAGCCGGCAGAACCCCAGGCAGGTGCTCACATGGCCTGCGGGATGATGCACAGGCTCACGGCGCCCAAGGGAGGGGAGGTGTCCCTGCATTGCAGGCGTGATAACATGACAGCCACCAGGTTTTAAACACTGGTGAAAAAATCCCAATTCTTAAAAATGCCATGTGAGCCAAACAAAGCTTATCCAGTGGCCAGAAATAGCCCACGGACGGCTCCCTGCCGCCTTCACTAAGGGGAGAGAGGTCCTGGAGCTCAGTGGTCAGGGGATGCCTCACAGCGACAGGGACAGAGGATGAGGTGGGCAGTGAGGCTCCCAGGACCCTCCTGGGGGTGGCAGAGGATGCATAGGTAGGGTGACCGCCCCGGGGACATCTAAGCAAGGCTCATCTCTGATACCCGGGGGTGGGGGGGCTTGTTAAACACGCCAGCTCCTGGGTCCCTCCTTGGACATCCTGACTCAGCACCCTCAGGGTGGACACCAGGGCATCTGTGTTTTAACAAGCTCCACCAGAGATTTTGTTGCTGCTCTCGGGTATTGGGAACCTCTGACCCCCAGAGAGGTGCAGAGGGCTGGAGTGGAATATGATTTTGCAGATTCGGGAGGAAGAAATCTGGCCACTGAGATTATTTACCAGAAAAATTTAATCAACATAATCTGTCAGAATGGACCAAATAACCACATTTCCATTGACAACTCTGAAGCCATCCAGATTGGACATGGGAATGTCATCATGAGACAGGCGGCCTCTGGAGAGAATAGTAAGTCCTCGGAGGGACACCCACTCCCTGTAGGTAGGGGTACCTGCTCCATCCGGGTGGGAGCAGAGAGGGCGAGTTTCAAGCTCCGAGAAAGGGCAGCTCTCAGATCTCCAAGGTCATCCTTTGGGGCCTTCCTGAGAGTGAGGAAGTCTCCCCTGGTGCCTGGATCAAACCTCTCCTGGTTTCCCTTCATTCTGATACCTTTTGCCTTGGTTTCAATGGGACCTGATGTTTTGCCATGAGAAACAACTCAGTATTCACTCTCCCTCAGTAGAACGTCACAAGGGTCTTTGTAGTGTTTCGTTTGTTCTGAGATACACTTTTCCCCCCACATTTTAACATCTTAGAAACTGGGTTGCATCTTACCAGCGGCATCCTACTTTTGTTAAAATACAGTCCCGCACAGGAGTGCCTACTCCCGGCCAGGCACTGGGGTGAGAGGGCACACGGCCCCCATCAGACCAGCCATGGAACACGAGTGACAGCACCAGCCCAAAAGTTGGACTCCTCCTTGTGACCTCCAGAGAGACCTTCCCCACCCCACCCCCAACTCTGGGATTTTGTTTCCCTGGCAGTGAAATGAGGAACTTTGCTTTTCTAGATCAATGTCTCCCCGACCTTAGTCCTCTGGGCTCTGCCCTCCCCAATTTTGGCCATGCCCATGTCTGATTATATACTTAATGTCGGTAAATGGCTTGCCTCTTTATTCTACTCAAATTTATTTTAAAGTTAACTTTTATAGCATGGCCTTAAGTTTAAAACCAGAAAGTTTACTATAAAGATGAATACTGAGAAGAAAAAACAATGTCAAGGCTGTGAATGCTCCCGGTTGAGGGGTCTTAAAGATACACCAACACCCAAGGAGACTTGCCCTCGTGGGTTCAAAGGATTGAGAGCACCAGGGAGCAGAAGCTGCGCTCACTGACTGGGGTTCATAAACCCAGTCATAAACCCCTGGGGAGCCCCACACTACTTGTGTTACTGGGCCCACCTGCTCTCCATCAATGGCCTGAAACACTCATTCCCAGTCCGCAAGAGCTCACAAAGAATTCAGAGGCCTGTCTCCTCTGTCCAGCCAGGACTTTGTGTGTGTAGGGGGGAGGGGGCGTCAGAGGGTGGGGGCCTGAGGTCATGTTGCTGTGTCCCCTGCTAGGCTCCATGGCTCCCCTCGAACTCCCCCCAGTGGCGCCAGCTGATCCCTCAACTCAGAGTTCCCCGGCTGCAGCCTGGGGACCCCAGGACATCCACTTGGAGAAGTCTGTGCTCAGACGGGTACAGATAGGACATGGCAACAAGATGAACCTCAACGGTGCCCAGGCCAAAGGCCCTGCAGCCTGCAACCCCTTGGGCAGCCCCCCAGGTAACCCATCCTGCCCCCACCCCACCCCATCCATCTCCTCGCTGGATAGAACTGGAGCCATTTTTTGCAGGGAGAGAGGCACGATGGGAAATCCCTTTCCTTCCGCCTGGAGGCTGTCTCACAGAATAGAGTACGTGGGGCTTTAGAGTTAGCACTCAGGCTCCCACTCCCTACCACCCGCCCTCCTCAGGAGACCGGTTTCCTCGTCTGTGCAGCAAGCGTGGGCCAGCTGAAGCAGGTCAGAGGAGATGGCCAGCCTGGAATGGCATCTAAGGAGGGGGGACCGGAGCCCTCTAAGTACTTGGGGCCCTATTAAGTGCTATCCACAGTGACCAGAGAGCCCAGGCTAAGTCCTCCCCAGCTCTGATAACCCAGAGACAGGCTGGGGGGCAAGAAACAGCAGGGAGGCCGGGGACCCCCAGAGGAGAGTTTCCAGGAAGGAGAAGCCGATGAGTTTGGGGAGTTCCATGGGGTCCAGCCACAGGGGTCTGTGGTGACCCGAGGGGACAGAGGAGCTCCAGGAGTAGGAGGACGGGGTACTGTGTGCAACTCTTGTCCGAAGTTTGGATGGGAAAGGAGCCAGGTGTCAGGGGCTGGGGATGGCTACGGCCACGTGCAGGTTTTAACCACAGGTGGGGATGGTGTTCCAGAGCTGCGGGGAAGCCAGCAGCAGAGATGGGAGCAGGCGGTGGCGGGGAGGTGGAGGGGAGGTGGTCGAACCCCAGGGGAAGGGCACGGGAGGAGGTGACGTCCATGCCAGCAGACCTGGGTGGCAGAGAGAGCTGGCAGCCCAGGCTGTGTGCAGAGGTGCTCAGGGAGGCAGGGCCTCGGCTGTGGCCTAAGCCTGGCCTGGCTTCTGGGAGGAGAGTGGGCCAAGGAGAACTTGAAAGCCAGGCTGAGTGTCAGGGCTCGGGGCCACCATCCTGACATCTCTGTCATTGGCTGACCCACAGCCTCTGCCACCGCTGAAGGCCCAGGAGCTTCGTTCGAAATTCGAATGCCCCAACCAGGATCTTCCTCCAAGGAGGAGATGGCCCAGAGAGTCCATATCAATTCATGCTTCCTTGAGGACATTGCCATCGGCAACAGCAACAGAATGACTATCAGCTCGGAGACAGCTGGTCCAGGAGGAGTTGCAAAGGAGGCAGGAGGGACCCTGGGGAGCCAAGCAAGGATGGAGGTGAGCCTGGGGCAAGGTGGGCCCTGTGTTCTCTATTTCTCTCTCATCCATCTACCCATCCACCAACCCATCCATCTACCCATCCACCCATCCACCCATCCACCATCCATCCATCCATCCATCCATCCATCCATCCATCCATCCATCCATCCATCCATCTATCCATCCATGCATCCATGCATCCATCCATCCATCTGTCCACCCACCTATCCATTCATCCATCTATCCGTTTATCTATCCATCCATCCACCCATCTACCCACCTATCCACCCATCTATCCATCCATCCAACCATCCATCCACCCATCAACAGTTGTTCTCGAATCTCCCATTTCCCTGAGTCTGGAAGGCAATAGCGGGTCACAGCAGAGAGCAGCCCTGGAGTTAGTGTGTGGTGTCAACTCTTTTTAGCCAAGTGACCTAGCCCAGCATTTAGCTCGGAGCCTGTTTCCCCATCTGTGACAGGAGGATGGTAATTGCCTGTGGCTCCTGGTTGTGGCGAGGACTGGGGGAGCTTGGCAGGCAAAGCCTGGGCACTGTGCCTGGCCCCACACGTGCCTCCAGCACCATGAGATATCATTACCATTGGCGTTATTTTAGGCCTCGTGGCAGGCGCGGGGGTGCCCCCACAGTGAGTGAGGGTCTGTCTCAGAGAGAGGCTAACTTGTTGCAGCAAAGAGACTGTCTAACCAGAATGGCTCCAACCTGCCAGAGGTTTAGCACACGTGCAAGGGGGGCCATCAGGCTGGTGGGAGGCACAGACCCCGGTTCCTTCCGCCGAGGTGCTGGGCCATCCCAGGGGCTCTGGACTTGTCTGTGGGCAGAGAGGCTACAGAGGGCCAACCATCCCCCTTTGACCAAGCACACCCACGCTCCTGGCTTCAGTTCAAGGGCCTGCACTTGGCCTCAAGGGGGGCTGGGAAATGTCACTTGAGCCCGGCTAAGACTCAGGGGATGGCCAACAGGATGTCACAGGTGCAGTTAGTCACCCAGCCACTGCTCCTGCCCCTGGATATGGAGCCAGGTGATTCCTGGCAGGTGACACAGGCAGGAGCAAGGTGGCAGTGGCCGGGGGAGGGTCCATCCAGTGGGTGGACAACTGTGGGCAACAGGGGAGAACAGGATGGTGGGTGGACAGAAGTGTGAGTGTGACCCGTGCACGCTTCAAGGATGGCAGAGGCCAGAGCACAGCTCCACGCCTGTGGTGGCTGGTGAGGACTTTGGCGTCTGTCCCAAGGCTGTCGGGAGCCACAGAGGGGCTTTGAACAGGAGAGAGTATGATGGGACTTCTGCCTTCAGCGTGAAAGAAGGATCAGGAGGAGGATTGCAGCTCCCGACTCTCTGGGATTTGGATGAAGGAGTCATGCCTTCCCCCATGGTTAGAAAACCTAGACTAGACTTCGCCAGCATCCACCCGCCGGCACCCACAGGTCTGTGGGCATTTATGTTGGACGCCAAGAATGTCTTCCCACCCTGACGACCATGTCCTTGAACTTCCAACAGCGAGAGGAGTCAGTAGAGAGAGGGCACCCTCTTCCCCACGTCCCAGAAACCTCCAAGGAGGCACACAGGGACCTCGGGAGTCGTGGGCGCCCCCCGCCACCTGATCTTAGGCAGGACCAGCCAAGACTCCTCTTTGGGGGAAAGAAGCACAGCCCTCTGCATTTGAAAAATAGCTAATGCCCCCTCCTCTGTCCCTCCCCAAGGGCTCAGCATTGGCACTGACAAGGCCTTTTTCACTCTGCACCCCTACCCACCCACCTCCCTGGCCTGAGGAACATCTAACTTCTTACTCAGGTGATGGGCAGGATCCCATCCCAAGACATGTAAGGCCTGGCAGGCTTTCCTTTCGGGGGAAATGACTAATCAGGGTCTGTCAGTGCTGTGGAGTGTGGCCCCCTCTTTGGGGTCTCTGTGAGCTGAGGCACCTGGACGGGCCATCAACAGGGGCATGGGGGCTCTCAGCTGCCCGCCTGCCCGGTTTGCTGCTGTGACATCCTGATGGGACCGTGGACATGACTTTGGGGGCCCAGTGCAACATGGAAAAGTGGGGCTCCTGATTCAGCTTCATCAGCATTTCAAGACAGAGCAGAGCTTTGACATGAGTCCAGGGTCCCTCTGAACATGGGCCCAGACCACATGCCCATGAAGCTGGCCCTCCCTGGAGCCTTCTGGAGCAGGACCCCTCCTCTAGTCCGTACCCCGCCCGCAATCACTCAGACCCCTGAGTCTTCCCAGAAATAATGCTGTAGCCACCTTAGAGCTTCTTCCGTCTTTCCAGTATCGGGAAGAAGCAGCTCATTCATTCATTCCCCAGTTCTGGCCCCGTGCTTGCCCTGAAACGCTCCCTCAGGGGGACGCATAGCCATGAGCAAGTCAGAGAAATAGTCCGGTAAGGAAGAGAGGCAGCTCACAAGGCAATAAAGCCTTTCGGAGAAACTCCGGCACAGTAAAAAAACAAACAAACAAACAATAAAACCCGGGGAGGGGTGGGCAGCCCATGATGGGCGAGCAGCTGCCTCGGCAGGGCAATCAGAGGAGGCTCCCGGAGGAGGTAGCATCGAGCTGAAGTCTGAGGGGAGGCAGCCAGCCAAGCGAAGACCGGGGGAAGGCAAGGGCCCCATTCACAGTCAGTCCAGGTAAGAGAAGACGGGGCCCCGGAGAGCCAGATCGCTTTGCTTATTTGAGGCAAGGGGCCCACGCGTCCCTGTGGCAACATCTTCTCTTCCCAGGATCCTCCCTCTGAAGGTGCAGTGCCCGGAAGTCAGTCCCCTCACGACCGTGGCCAGGCCTCGCCCGACAATGACGGCATCTTGACCTTCATCTCCCGCCTAGAAGCTCTGACTCTTGAAAGCAGGGATCCCCGAGCTGCGGAAGACAGTGGCCGGGTGGACAGAAGCCCAGACGTGGACTCCCAGCGGCAGGTGGAGTCCAGAACAAACAGCTAGGCTCTCTCAGGAAGAGCAACACCAGTGAGCCCTTGGTATTGCGCTTTCTGTGTTTCGTAAATGTTGTTTTCCACCTTGTTGCCTCCTGACACATGGCCGGTGAGAGTCAGCGTTCGGGCCGGGCCTGGCCTGGGGCGTGGCGAAGGCATGTCTGTCCCAACTGCCTCCTTGGCCCGCCTTCCATCATGGCTGCCCATTCTTCTCTCACTCAAGACCTGACTTCCTCAAGGCCCATTGTGGCTGCCTGACCTCTTTCCCACCTGACCTTTCTAGAGCCGTCCTACCTCCACTTTGATCTCTCAGGATTTCTTAGCTGAACTTCCGGAGAACAAATCCCTCCCCTCGAGGCCCCAGCAGAAGTCACTGGCCAGCCCACAGGTCAGGTGACCTCTGCTAGCCAACTGTCAGGGGATGCTTGTCATACACCAACGTGGTGCTTATGGGCGGACTCAGTTCCCTCGGAAGGGTTGTGGGCACGGTGGCATTTCCAGAACAAAGGAGTGGGGTGGGGTCTGGGGGACACTTGGGAAGGGACGAAGGGAGGAAGATAGAGGAGGATAGAGTGGTCAGCCAGGCAGGACCGTTGCGGAAGAGGACTCACATCGTCCACTTGTTATGTCCGTAACACACACACAGCTCCGTGCCCACTACCCCTCCCAGTGCCACACCCGCACCTCACTCTCTTTTGTGTTTCCTCCTCTGGACCATGGATGTCCAATGCCCAGGAGCCATGTTTCCTGCAGCTAGCGTCTGCCTTCGTGGAGGAAAGGCTGGCTCATCACGGAGCCTCAGTAAAGAATGTCATTGAACAACCTTTTGTCTCTTTTCAATGCGACTGGGAGGATCTTGAGATCCTTGACACGTTGATCAGTGCCTGGACAAATACACAGCACTTACAGTATGTCCCTTCAAGGGGAGCCCTAAGGCATTGTTAGAGCCCCTGGGTCCGGTCATTCCTGCTTCTTTGCACGTGTCCGTTAGATGAGCTGATGTATCTGTCCCCTCCGTGTGGAAGTCAGCTCCAGCTGATTTTCCTTTCCCAGTGTGGCATGTCCCTCTCACCTCTGCCACCCCCTTTCCTTAGCTCGGTGCTACTCAGCCAGCAGGTCTCAGCTGAGACGTGGCCTCATCCAGGAAAACTTCGCAGGCTCTCGCCCAGCCTGTGTCTCTGCCCCTGAGGCTCCTGTGTCCCCGTCAATCCCGTGTCTCACTGCCCTGCCATTGCCACATTACTCGCCCATCTCTCCCTATTCACCAGGACTCATTTTGTTGTAGATGGCAGAAAGCTGGACCCACTTCACACAAAAGGGGAAATATTGGCTCTTCTAACAGAGACAAGCCCAAGTATAAACTTGCTTCAGGAACATCTCCATTGAGGAAATCAGACAATGTCTTAGGACTCAGCCTCCCTCTTTGCATCTCACTGCTCTGCTCGCCTCTCTTGGCAAACATGGCCCCTGGAGCCTCCAGGCCTCCATGCCACCGACTTCATTGCTCAGTGGAAGGAGAACACTTCTTCCCAGTGGCAAAAGCCAAGTTGGATGGCTTTGGTCGCGTGACCACCTCTCAGCTGGTGACTGGCCAGAGCAACGGAATGCTATGATTGGCCGGCTGGCATCACACGATCTATCCCTGGCTGCCGGACGGGCGAGAAGCTCGGAAGTCCACTGCATTTCCCCCAGCACCAGCCAGTGAAGTCACTACGCACAGGAGCCTTGTCTTTTCCCTCTGCACGTACCCCCAGTGTGTGCCCGACAGGCCCCTTCACTGACCACGCCCGGGGGCTCCCGACGGAGGGAGACAAAGCCCTGCCCCGTGGTGCGCAGTTCACGGTTGGCGGGAGAGGTGGGCATCAACAGGGGTCCCGAACAGGACTAGTCACAGGGAACTAGGGAGGACGGAACAGGGGCCCACACGCTGCCTGGAGGGTCCAGGAGGCTCCATGGGGAGGAGAAAACCCGAGAGCTCACTCTCCCACATCTGGCAGAGGGAGGTAGGGTGGGATGGGGATGACGTCCTAGGCAGGGCACAGCCCAGGCAAACGCGTAATGATCAGAGCAAGACAACTTATTCAGAGCACGACAGCCAAACGTTCGGGTGTCGGTGGAACGCGCCCTGCAAAGAAAACCAGTGGGAGGTTGGCTGGAGAGAAGCAGGTGCTGGACCACGTGACCCTGGGAGTTTGGACTTGACCCTGCGCTCTGTATGAGCCCCACCTGCACACGTCTTCCAGGAAGGACTGGGCGGGTGCACACGACAAGGAAGTTGGATTCATTAGGAGGGGGCGTCTCGTTCTGTGGGCTGGAATTGCCTGCCCACTGGGGGCAAAGTTATCTCTGCCACCATGTTGACCCAGGGCCACCCCCTGGGGCTCATTCCCTCAGGGGATATCTGGTTTGCAACACAACAGCAGGTAAAAGGGACTCGAAACTGGGTTTGGCTCACTCCTCCTGGCATTGTCCTTCCTCTGCGGTGAGCTGGAAACTGCTCGCCTTGAAGTTTGCCCAAGGTCTGTGGTTAACCAGGCCACGTCAGTGGAGGATCCGAATGCAGCCCCAAACTCAGCCTCAGCCCTCATCCCCAGCCCCGGCCGGGATACTCCTCTTTCCGCGAGATTTCCTCTCTCTGTATAAATTAATTTGTCATAAACACGCTGACAAAGCATTGCCAGCTGTTAATGGGGGCTGGAGGGGAAGGTCACCCCTGGTCTCTCCAGGAAGGAAATTAACTAGCTTCCATTAGCTAGCAGGGAATGATTAAGTCCGTCCATCCTCCAGCCCTTTGTTCTCACTGGGTCCCCAGCCACCCACCCTCCCTTCTGCCATGATATGTGCAAACAGAGTTGAATGGGGGCAGTTTGCTCCATGAGAATTAGAGGTGATTTTCCCAAATCACCATGACCTGCTCACAAATGCAAATCCCAGTCTCTCTGCTAGTCTCAGGATGAGCCCAGGTGGGACTCCTCCTCACCTGTGGGGCTTTAGCAGGCAGCCAAGGTTAGAGGCTTTGAGCAAGAAAGGGTCTAGGGAGTAATTCAGGAGCATTTTGGCTGCGAGTGACAGAAACTTAGCTCACCTAGGCTTAAAAAAGGAATCTATTTGCTCATGCAACTGGGAAATCAAGAGATACTTAGCTTCAGGAATGGCTGGCTCCAGGGGCTCAAGCATTATTTTTCAGGCTTCTTTCTCTCCATCTCTCTGAGAAACTCTCTTCTCTCGCTGCCCAAGGCTTAGGGCTTGCCAGTTTAGCAACACCAGCCGAAAGAGAATTCTTCAAGCCGAATGCTGCTGATAGAATGTCCCGGGGAGGGTTCTGATTGGTTGAGCGTGGGTCACATGCTTGCCCAAACTTGTAAGTGGAGCCCATGACCGGGGCCGAGCCTTCCAGATTCTGAGTCACGTTTCTCCAGCCCTAATGACACACGCATGGTCCAGAGGCACCCTCACATCCACCAGCCTCTTCGCTCTGATAAATGAGGCCAGAATGCCACCCGACCCATGGGCAGCCATGCCACAGCGGATAAAAAGAGGGGACAGAACCAGCATTTTGTATCCTGTGAAAAGCTCCTCCTGCAAGAGGTTCTGTGAATTAAGAGTTCCCTGGGCAAATAAACTGGAGAAAAAAGGGTAGCCAGCCCTGGGTGATCCTCAGGAGCCCATTGCCCAGAGAGGTAAACAGGCTCAGGAAGGTTAGGCGACTGCCCAAGGGGTAGAGACAGGATTGGAACCGAGGCCACCGGGCTCCTAAGCTCTGACACCTGATGCTGGAGAAGCAGTTTGGGGCTCAAACCCCGGCCTGGCTCTCACTGCCTGGCTTCACTTTTTGTGACACATTCGCTCATTCCCTTCCCCACCCCCACCTGGGACCCTATGTCTTTTGCTGCCATCAGCAGGGTCTCCACCCGCTGCTGGAGAAGCAGCCCGGCCTTGAAAAGGCCACAGAGCCCAGAGGGTAGGGATGTAGGATAGGGGATGGAGGCCCGGCTGCCCAAAAGGTCACCTTGGGGAGGCACAGCCAGCTCTACCTCCCGGTGGGAGACGTGCGAGTGCATGGACACAGAGGCCCTCCCTATCTGTGTGACCTCACCCCCGGGTGCCCAGGTCACAGCTCTGAGCCTCAGCCTTCTCATCTGCAGAATGGGCCCGGGAGGCAATCAAGTCAGGTTTGCTGGAGGGTCAGAGGAGAAGGTGGGGGGCTGCGGCTGGCAGAACCCTCGCTGCAGGGTCTGGCCCCGGGCTCCAGCACCAGGGCCCACGTTACCCACCTCCCCCCGCTGCCGGCGCCGTGAGGCAAGTCCGGACACGTTTCTGGTTGTCACAGGGGCAGAGGGAGGAAGTGGTTTCCCGTCACGGTTGTAACAAATTGCCATCAAGTGGTTTAAAACAAACAAACGTATCTTACAGCGCCGGAAGTCAGAAGTCCCCCATGGGCCTCCTGACTGAAGCCCAGGTTTCGGCAGGGCAGGCTCCTTCTGGAGGCTCCAGAGGAGAATCCTTCTCCCGGCCTTTCCAGCTTCTGGAGGCCACTTGCGTTCCCCGCTCACGGCCCGTCCTTCACCCTCGAATCGAGCATCACCGCATCTTCCGATCTCCGTCTCTTCCTCGCCCTCCTTCCTCTTCTAAGGACCGCTGTGACACTATGGGGTCCACCTGACCACCCGGACCACCCCCCACCTCAAGATCTTAGGCATGTCTGCGAAGTCTGCGTCGCCGAGTAAGGTGACAGAGTCACAGCCTCTGGGGATCAGGGCATGGACATCACTGGGGGGCATCATGCAGCCACCACACTGAAGCGGGACAGCCCCCCACAACAAAGAGTCATGAAGCCCAAAATGTCCGCAGAGCCAGGTGCAGAAACCCACCACAGGTGACGCTGTTTTCATTATCAGCATCGTGGAGATAAAAGAGCGAGCGGGCCGTGGTGTCGCAGCCCCAGGTGTAACCTGAGTGTAACCTCAGGTGAGGCCCAGCAACTCTGAGCCTCAGTTTCCTCCTCTGTAAAAAGGACAGCCCCTCGTGCGCGGAGCTCACCATGTCTTACACTGGGACTCTCAGTCCACGGAGCATCTAAGAAATGCTGATGTCCGGGCGCACCCCAGACCCGTGGAGGACACCTTCTAGGGGTGGGGCCCGGGCAGGTGGATTTTTAAAAGCCCCTCCTGTGTGCCGAGGAGCCCCCCTCCTCGCTGCAATGTCCAGGGCTGCCCCCGGCCGGGCACCCCGGGCAACAATGCACCTCAGCCGTGGCTGTGAGCCCAGCAGCGCCCTCACCCAGCGCCACGCTCTGGCCGGCCTCGGTGGCAGGAGGGCCTCGGTGGCAGGAGGGCCTCGGTGGCCGGAGGGCCTCAGCTCCCCCAGCGGCGGCCACCAGCCAAGCCGGAGCTCCGCTTTTCACAGCCTTGGGCCGAGCGCCCTCTGCTGGCGGGCTGGCGGCAGCGCGCACTGAGCTTGTGCACCTGCAGGGTCCCCGCCCCCATACCCTCCCCCAAAACTGGCCACGCACACAGTGTTTTGCCTGTGGTTTGGGGTGGTGCACAGCGCCCTAAGCCCATGCACAGATGCCAGGTTAAATTCCTGCTGTGCCTTCTCATCTGGGTCTCCCTTCCCACTGATGCCAGCGCCCCAAAGGCAAAACCCTAGTGCCCTGCAAGGGCTGAGCTCTTTCAGGGGGAACATCCTTGTAAGCCGGGACCCCTAGGAGCCCCCAGCCCCTGCAGGAGCCCCAGGGCTCTTCCTTGCACCCCCTACCATAGCTGCCTTTCTTCAGTCTCCTGCTGGTACAAACTCACTTAATCCTTCCATGCAGTCC